AGCTGCAAAAGAGATATGAATGACTACATATTTTTGAACGAAAAAATAAACGAAAAAATTCATATTCCTTCCGAAAATGCGAAAGCATTATAAATAAGTTTGAGCAAAATTTACTTTTAATTTATAACAAAGATGGATTAAAGCGCGATATACAGAAAGTAAATTTTTAGAACAGTACAATAAATGATTGCAGAGGGATTTTCTGTATCCCCGTACAATAAATGAAGGTACTTCATCGAGAAGTGCTGCAGATAGAGCATCGTCTTCAAATGTTACTGTATATAAAGGAAGGAAATTATTGTCGTAATGCATTACTAGGGAAAAAATGAGAAGAGTGTGATCTTTAATTTCCAATTTTACTTTAAGTGAATTACTGAACGCAACAAACATGAGCTTGCGTAAGCATGGCATGACTCAACAAATTCGACTTCTTAAATATATAGAGTCAAATGAATACAGCAAAAGAATTGAAGTACTTCTTAAAGGAGATTTGTTATTCAAAAAAATATCATTTAGTTCAGAAAAAGCTTAGAGCATTTTTATCATGGCAGACCTCTCGAAATTTCAATATATTACCATGCGTAATGAATTCATAAAATGCAATAATTATCAATGGCCTTCGTATTTCAAGTTATTGATAGAGAAAAGAAATTGATATCCTGCAAAATACGGTCAAAATAACAGAGTTATCTGCAGAACTAAGTGTTCAAAGCGTATTAGATCATACCGTTTCCCGCATAATCAAGGATATAAGTGCATTAGAAACTAGTGTGCTATTGCTTATTAGCAAATTGGTCTGCAATGGTTCATCTGGGCAACAAAGATACAAACAACTTCAATATGAGAATCTTAATATTAACACATTCGCTGCCAAGCCTATATTATATGATGCTATTCCCATTGTCATTTATATTTTGAGTGGTATTGTTTACCAAAGTTCTGTTATTTCTTGGTAAAAACACATATATTATCATACAAAATCATTTACATGCATAAAATCAAAGACGAGTATACTCGCCGTGGGCAATGGGAAGGCAACAGGATTCGACATCCTTTTTCGTATTTGCGTACGTTTAAGTAAGAATCACCATAAGTTACTAAAAGTGTTTGATGGGCTTCGGCAGCAAATTTCTTCAAATCAAACAACAAAAGTAATGATTGTCGAAAATACAATTTTGAGCGTTTCATGATTAGCGTCTGCATACACTGAATAACTCAATATGTAATACTAAACGGAAATCTGTTATTTTAGTAGAGAAATGTCAGAACCATCGAATTTAACATTTAAGCTAAGCTATTTGCATTGATACTTCGCATTTTCATCAATAGATGTCGATAAATTATCCCGTTTTACAATGCAAACTAGTTTCAAGAATGGACGACGATATATCAACTAAGGTAAAGGTACCAGTAGTTGACCATTTTCTAAAAAACCATAAAAAATAAGATTTTTATAAAATGTGCACTTTTGATGAAAGTGAACCTCGGATGCTACATCATCTGTTGGTGAAATTTTGAAACAATTACATGCGACGTGAAGTATGAAGTAACAACGGACGTCTGAATTCATTAAGGTTAGTAATATGCCGATATATAATATTTCTATTTCCTTAACGATTCTGTTAAGAACAGCTGTAGTACCATTCAAGTAAAAAATCCATATGTTGTGAACTTTCGCGACTGAATTATTTGCTTTTTAAATTCTCACAGAATTTTGTAAGTGATACATGCATCGTTTTTGTTATTCTAATCACAAAAACAATAGTATATTAGGGGGTCAAATACTGAATATTGTTTTTAAACAATTTTCAGAAGTTGACAGGCGTGGTCAATTACTGACGTGACTCATTTAAATTTGTTTACGATTTATAATGTATCCATTTTATATCTAAGATTGTTAGGAGTACAAAATAAAATTAAAAATTTTGTAGAATGCTGTGTTTTAGAGGATGACCACATGGTCAACTATTGATTGCATTCACGGTCAAGTATTGATCAATGTCCACTTTTTTTAAAACAACCATGTGCGTGACATAAATATCAACGGAAAATTAAAATGCATTTATTTAAATATTTATTTCAGAAATTATTTCATTACTAATCGAGAGATGCCTCCTATCAAGGGTTCCTTTAAAAATTATTTTGAAGAGACGATGAAGGCAGCCATTGAAGATGTTCGGTTGCACAGAACATCAATAAGGGCAGCAGCAGGTAAAGCCGTACCAAGGATAACCCTTAAATACAAAGTGGAAGGTAAATCGCCTGTAGAGAGAAAGATGGGACCTCCTCCAATTTTAAATCAAGCTGAAGAGAATGAAATCCGTCAATGGATTGAAAAAATGGCTGCAGCTGGTTTCCCAATTACGATGGAAAAGCTTGTAACTAGCGTGGAATGTATCATCAAAGAAGTGAAACGTCAAAACCCGTTTAAAAATGATCGTCCTGGTAGGACATAGGTGAAGGGTTTTTTTAAGTAGATATCCTACAATATCAAAAAGAGTTTCACAAAATCTAACAGCTTCACGAGCAGCAGTCACCAGTGCTAATATACTCAACTGGTTTTCCGAAGTATACAAGGTGTTCGGCTACCTATAGCAAAAATTTTAATGAGCGATAGTAGAGGCCAAAATAAGACGAAAATCAAGAATACTAATTTGTTGATGGAGGCTTCGTTGCAAAGTTATTAACATTTAAAGTTCCGCCTGTAGAATGACAATCCGCTAAACAGCTGCGTTCGCGCGGACGGTTGCGGCAGGCCAGTGCTAGTGGTTCTCACGCAGCATGAAAAATTCTACTTACCGACATTATCGACAGCCTTAGATTTTTGTCCACTTATGTGAATGCGAACACCTTACGTTGAATAAGATTCAACCTGTCTTATGAAAATCCAGAAGGGCATTTCAAAACTCGCCCAACGAGATTTTCACCGAGAAAGGGTGAATGCCAGTTCCAATACACAATGTTGTGAACAAAAATCACCCACATGCGATTATACACGCCCCACGATTGTCCACAGTGTCCACAAGTATCCACAAATAATCCTTTCAGGTACTAACCACTATGCAATTAAATCAACACGTACCGCGATTATGTTATTCGTGAATGTCTACGTGTACGTGTATCACGATTCTTCCGAGTTACTTACGAATAAAACTGTTATAAATTTTTCAAATACACTTCAATTTAAAAATGTAAAAACGAATCGCAGGATAAATGAAATTTTCGCATCGATTTACGTTTACGGCAAAGAATGTAACAATACTAGCAGCTGACTGTGCCATCGATCGACGAGGTTCAGAAAAACAAATGCCGAACAGGACCCCGATTCTACGTCACTCGCCTCGCTTATCTCTCTCACACACAGCGGAGACAAAGGGCAGCATCGGTACGTGTTCGGCCAGCTAGTCAGTCGTAAAACGCGTTCACGCGACACATTTTAGACATATTTGATTCAGTTATTGTTGCGACGCGAGCAGGACCTCGCAATTTAGACTTTATGGCAGGGTTAGTTGGCAACAGTCAAGGCCCTCGGTCGAGCCGTTGGCTGGGCCTGCAAACGACCCTCAGCCTTTTGTTTCTCAAGGGTAACCAAGACGGAGTTTTCTAGACAGCTGAAATGCACGTGCGCGGCTAGCGCGCACTTTCACTTGGCTAGCTTTCTCTTAATTGTTACTAACATTCAAATTTACTAGAAAACTCCGTCACAACCCCGGAAAGGGCTTCCTCACCAGAGCCTGCCCTTTCCGCCAGTACAGTCAAACCACACCCACACAGAACAACTACACCAATCATTCAGAACCAACGACACTCCTACAACGCGACACATTAGCCAATAAGAACATTCCACCATCCATGTAAATACCGACATCAGACCTGAAATAGACATTCCACGTTACACAGTCAAAAAGTCAACTACGCCCGTTCAGTATTACATTTCATTTATTCCAACTATTCCGATAGTAATAACTTACTCTTCGGAAAGCGTTCCTTTCGCGCCACTCCAATTTTACCGGTCGCGAGAGTCCACACAACAGTTATGTATTAAGTAGCATGTAAGAAATACAGTGATATAAACAATCAGCGAATACTTATTAAATTCCTGTTTACATTTTTAAATTGAAGTGTATTTGAAAAATTAATAACAGTTTTATTCGTAAGTAACTCGGAAGAATCGTGATACACGTACACGTAGACATTCACGAATAACATAATCGCGGTACGTGTTTATTTAATTGCATAGTGGTTAGTACTTGAAAGGATTATTTGTGGATACTTGTGGACACTGTGGACAATCGTGGGGCGTGTATAATCGCATGTGGGTGATTTTTGTTCACAACATTGTGTATTGGAACTGGCATTCACCCTTTCTCGGTGAAAATCTCGTCGGGCGAGTTTTGATATGCCCTTCTGGATTTTCATAAGATAGGTTGAATCTTATTCAACGTAAGGTGTTCGCATTCACATAAGTGGACAAAAATCTAAGGCTGTCGATAATGTCGGTAAGTAGAATTTTTCATGCTGCGTGAGAACCACTAGCACTGGCCTGCCGCAACCGTCCGCGCGAACGCAGCTGTTTAGCGGATTGTCATTCTACAGGCGGAACTTTAAATGTTAATAACTTTGCAACGAAGCCTCCATCAACAAATTAGTATTCTTGATTTTCGTCTTATTTTGGCCTCTATTATCGCTCATTAAAATTTTTGCTATAGGTAGCCGAACACCCTGTATAACTACCTAAAGGAGAACAATTTTGAGACGATCTTGGACGACCCATCACGGATTTTCAATTGTGACGAAACAGCATTCTTTTTGAAACCTAAAGGCAACAACGTGTTGACGAAAAAGGGGTGTAAAACTGTTTACCAACAAGTCAATCCAGATGAAAAGGAGTGTGTGACGGTATTGTTGACGGGCAGCGCCAGCGGTATAGTTGCTCCTACAGTAGTTTTGTTCAAATACAAACGTATACTCCAAGAAATTGCTGACAATTTTCCCCCAAAATGAGGCCTGGGTAAAAGTGACTCAGGTTGGATGACATGTGAAGCGTTCTTTGAGTTCGCTGTCGATATATTTCACCCATGGTTGGTAGCAACAAAAGCAACGTTACCTGTCATTCTTTTTATTGATGAACATGACTCACGTTTAAGCTTTCAAACAAGCCAGTTTTTGTCATAATCACGGTATTATTTTGGTGGCACTTTACCCTAATGCAACCTATCTAATACAGCCCATGGATGTTGCTGTTTTTAGAACACTCAAAGAAAACTGGAAAAAGAAAGTACATGAATGGAGAATTAACAATCTTGATGCCCCAGTTTTAAAAAGAAAAGATTTTCCGAAGTTGCTCCAAGAAGTGATTGACAAAAATGTAACTGCATCTATTCTATCTAATGGATTTCGGAAATGTGGTTAATATCCGTGGAATCCATCAGCAGTGAACATCTTACCGGGACAAAAACAACAAGTTGAAACGGGAATTATGGAAATATATTTGTCACGGATGGAATATTGGAAACAAGGCTTCCGATTTCTAAATGAAAATATAAAACCTGAAAAACTTAATCCTTTGCACTCGAGAGGTGATTCTCACTCACCATGTGGTTTGGTGCCGCAACTGGAGAGGTGCCTCTCGCTCACCACTTGGTTTGCTGCGGTAACTCGATGCGCGGCAGTAACTGTTTACGTTTAGTTTCTTCGACGCGGGTTCCTACGCTCTTTCTGTATAATCTTATGAAGTGTAAAATGACACCCCTTCAAATGGAGATAAGACTTTCTTATCTGAAATTACTCCGCAACCACGAACTGGACTGCATTTTTGGCATTAGTTCGAACCTGACAGTCATGGCAGAGAGACTACTAAAGTTAAAGTTTTTGATCCCTAAAAACATGGAACGTAATACTGAAATAAATTCAAGTGAAGATGAATTTGATTTCACGGTGCTTAAGGGGGGCAACCACTTTAGGAGACCGAAAATTAGATGATTTTTGGGATTTTTTTTTATTGCGAAAAAAAAAACGGAAATTTCCGCAACTCAAACAATAATTTTTTCATATTTTCATATATCTCTGGTAATTTTTTCAAGTTGTTTCATCCATTGTATTAACCGTTTGCGTACCAGAGGGTTTTGAAAAAACACGATCGAAAAACGCCAAGGAGCGCAATCGCGCTCCTTCGATTATGTGTGGAAAAAAGCCGAAGAGCGCGATAGCGCTCCTCCGGTTACGTGTCGAAAAAAGCCGAAGAGCGCGATAGCGCTTGTCATATTTAATGCGGTAAATAATCGGGTGGACCGTCAATTGTCTGTTTCGGCCAAATGCCCTGGCTTTTCTCGACACAAAATCTGAAGAGCGCGAAAGTGGCTCGTGGTACGCAAACGGTTAAGGTGTAATCCGCTGTGTCCCTTGGCGTGTCCTCATCGTCGTTGTCGACTTGCGGGAATCGTGCAGCTCGCAATTAGCATCTGAAATAGTCCAAAAAATTTTGATACATTCTTAAGATGTTTTTAAAGAACATGAACTTAAATTTTAAAAAGAAATCGAGAATTTAATGTTAGAACGTGTTTGAAAAGAAAATGATCGATTTTTAGCATTTTGTTTCCCGGCATTTTGCAATAATAAATATGTTTTAAACAATCTAAGCTTTCCAACTTTAGGTTCATGTTTTAATAAATTATATTATGTAAACGTGTTCCAAATTTGAAGATGATCCATCAATTAGTTTTTGAGTTATGATTCCCGCAAATTGAAAAAATGTCGTTTCGAGAAAACACGTTTAAAGTTTCACAAACGAAAAATTCAAACTCAAATGTGTTTAATCAAATGATAAAGTGTCTTACCGATTAATCAGCGATTCCAGCACCATACAGCAGTCCTTCCTCTTCCTCATGGAACTCATTTGCAGCTTGCATTTCCTCTTTACGAGCTGTTCGAGCTGCTTTTGTCTCTAATGAGTTTCTTCTATTTTGCCGAGCCACGCGAATCTGATCCATTTGCTCAACATATCCGTAGCTCTGCCTGCCAACTACGATTTGTAATTCATTCATGACCATGAGTAGGGCTGAATTTCCTTCGTTGAATAAAATAGCAGCAAAAAAGGCCGCTACCTCGATTACTTTGTACCCAGAATGGAGATGTTTTGGAGTGAATAGCCAAACGGTCGAGTTAAAACTTTCGTTTGCATTCTGCGTATGACCGCCTAAACATCTCTGCAATAAATCCTCTCTTGATAGATCTTCATATATAGGACGAATATGCTCTTGTACATCCGGGTGTAATGGGGGTGGATGTGGCTCAGGCTCCGTTCCGAGAGCTGTAGCCTGCTGCCAATTGCACCAGCTGTCGACTCCCTCCGGGCAGTTTTCATGTCGCGGATTTTCGTCTGTAGACTGCAGATGATGGAATGTGGCCATTATAGCCTTTTTCATGTCCTCCACGCTGTTAATATTTCTCCGAATTGCCAATCCGTAATAAGTGGCAAGTTTCTTCAACAAAGCCTCGGTCAATTTTCCTTTGCCACTTAGTTTCTCTTTTTTCCTGATATTTCGCAGGCGAGTCCCCATTCTTTTCTGAACGTGGCAAATACATTCGCTCTTGCAAACTGGAAACTCATCGCCGTAAGGATTGAGTTTCAGGATTGCATTGAAAGTTTTGGAATCACCATCACCAATGTAATTTCCATATTTCACTCCATAGAGTTCTTCTGATCTCGAAAACATCTCTTTGATTGATTCTACCTCCATGCTTCCCGAAGAGCCATGGTGATTTTGTGCACAGTTTTCTTCATCATGTTCTTCTTTCCACTCTTGGTATTCTACTGTATTTTGAGGCTTATTTTTCCAATATATACACGCTTGACAATAACTACTTTTTACCATCATATCGACGACTTTTCCAGAATAATACCCTATGAGAGTTGTTACGCCAAACAACGATTTAAAGCCACGTTTTTTCCAACTACCGTCACCAGATACTTTTAAATCCAGTAGTGGTCTCTCGCGTTGCTCATTTTCTGTCTTTTCCTCCTCTACAGCTTTTCTACAGCAAAATTCAAACACTTTCTTCGAAGCCACATGGATATGACTGTAAATTTTATTGTAACTTTCTTCAGCCAAACCGCTACCGATATCCATATAATTACAGAATGTATTTAACCCCTGTCTACCTATGCCTAAGAGACGCATGACGAACACAATTCTACGATTGATTTCAAAACCAGTATTGATGAAGGGACCTGAATTTATTTCTCTTCGTCCACATCGGCAATTGACAACAATCTTAAAACCAAGGCCTCTGATTCCAGTTTCTTCAAATTTTATGTTCTGCTTGCAACTCCCACAAATAAGGATATCAGACAACGCCGTGAATACAGTGAAAAATTCAATGAAACGATAACAGTGTAACGGATTCACGCGAACGTTTTCACTCGTAGCAGTACTAAGTTTTTTCGCGCTAGCACTCGGACCCGCGGTTTCACTTGCATCTTTGCTAGTAAACTGATTCCCATGGAAAGATCTCTTCCGTGGCTTTTGGCGTCTTTCAGATGTGTTATGATCACCTTTTGGATACGATGACATTTTGCAACTGTAGAATATTCACGATGCGTCCTACGCAAAAGCCGAAGCTAAACTGAATCCAGAATGATGGTGACGCTTCTATAGTAGCTTCTATTCTATTGTTCTGACTCATTTGTTCCACCCCAAAGCAAAGGTACTATGATCTACGTTACCAGGTGAGTCATAAAAAGGGACTACCTGACTCAGTGCTCGTGGATACCTGGGCGCGCTTGGGAGTCGAGCGGAGAGTCTTTATCATTTATATACATACCGTTAGAAGGAATCCGAATATCGTTTTGAAGTTTTCAGGGTATATTCTTAAGATATTTTGCTAACGATTTATGAAATAAAAAAAAAAAAAAATTTTTGAAGCATCTAAAGTGGTTGCCCCCCTTAAGAAGGAAATTACGTCCCTACACAAAGAACTTGACGATACAGAGAATAACAGCAGTAGTGACGATAGTGACGAAGTAAGAGGTGTAAGAAGGCGATAGATCGGAGTAATAGACAGTGAATGTGACAGCGATACTGATACTACAGAAGATTCACAATCGGACAGTTCTGAATGGATTAGTTGCATTGAATCAAACACCGTCAAGAATAGCATTCATAGCCGGCGACACTACTGCAGGACGCACGTACCACCAGATAAGAACGAACCATTAGATTTTTTAAAACTCTTTGTTACTAATGAACTGGTGAATGAAATAGTTATTGAAACTAATAATTATGCTACAAAAAAGTTAGAAGGAAAGACATTATCATCGTACTCGATATGGCGAAATTGGCGGAGTGTAACTATCGAAGAAATGTAGACATTTATTGGTGTTATAATAAATATGATGTCAGCGGAATGATGTCAGCTACATTCCTTTTTATTCGAACAAGTTCACGAGGGATAGATTCAATCAGATTTTTTGGATGCTCAATCCAAAGACAACATGCGGGGCCACGAACACGCTTACAGCTAGTTGGCTGTTTCCTTGATTATATAAATTCAAAATTTTTTAAGTATTTTACACCGGGAAGAGAAATTTGTGTGGATGAATATACGATCAAGTTCAAAGGTCGGATCTCCTTTATTACTTACAATCCGAAGAAACCAACCAAATGGGGTATTAGAGTTTATACGATGGCAGACTCAAGTACCGGTTATATCTGTGGTGTTACACTGTTACAGTGGTGTTAACAAAATAATTACAGTTCGACCCATGTACGCCCGAACAAAGGTCTAAAGAAACCCTGAACTGACCCGTAGCAACAATAAGTTTATAAAGCCATCGACCATCAGTTGCACTCTACGACGTTTCATAATCAGTAATATGGTTCTTTATTTTAGGTGTGGCGTCGCCTCCCATGCTCGCCACTAGAGGGGTCGCGCTCTCACAAGCGCTCGACCGACCCCTCCGTTGCTATATATACACTCCTCGAACGACTTCCCAATATCCCAGTCGTCTAAGGCAGGGCCTGCTAGAAAGCCTTACTGATGAGTCCACTGGCAGGCCCGGACGAAACGCGCCCCCTCCTTTCCTTTTCTGTCCTCCTACGAATTCTCACGAGATCCCCTACCCGCAGCGAAGCAGCGCCACAATTGGTGACCCGGACGGTGAATTGGACAACTAGGAAGCAGCTCGAGAATTTTCCAGGAAACCGCAGACCCGCACGCAGCGTAGGACGAAGGAGGCAGCGCCGAACAACCGTGTCTAATCGTACTAGCAAATAGCTCTTTCGTAATCCCTCTCCTAAGGTGGCCTTTCGTTCACTCGATCGCTCGGTCCTGACCAAATCTACCTGACGAGGCCGTCGTCTCCAGGAGGACACAGATTGGCAGGATTCGAAGCAGCAGCAATAGCACGCATAGTGGGGCCACAGGTAGGACAGCAGCATATACGCTCGATGACTTCAGGAGCGCAAGGCACGAGGACGACTCGCCGCGCCAGACGATCAAGAGAACGACCACGCAGCAGCCAGAAATCACGCAATATCCTACGGCAATAGAATCGAAGTTCTAGCCAGGATCAGAGAAAAATCTCCAGTGATCGTCAATCGAGATAGAGGCGCTATATGAAGACACGACGACGACGACAAGTCCCAGAGGAACGGAACAACTGTAGATAATGTACATAGTATTCGATAAGTCCTGTAAATAGTAGACTTAATCCGGTATCGTTAGCACTGGCAGGGGGGTAATGTGGCGTCGCCTCCCATGCTCGCCACTAGAGGGGTCGCGCTCTCACAAGCGCTCGACCGACCCCTCCGTTGCTATATATACACTCCTCGAACGACTTCCCAATATCCCAGTCGTCTAAGGCAGGGCCTGCTAGAAAGCCTTACTGATGAGTCCACTGGCAGGCCCGGACGAAACGCGCCCCCTCCTTTCCTTTTCTGTCCTCCTACGAATTCTCACGAGATCCCCTACCCGCAGCGAAGCAGCGCCACATAGGTTTAAACATTTTTCAGTTTTATTTCGTCTTGCATGTCTTAGTAAGGTCAAGGCGCTTCATAAAATTATTACCTGCTACGGTCGAGGCACGCGGAATTTCCCGGACTCGATGGTGCCCTCGGTACCTGAGAGTGACCGATGGCTTGGAGACGGTCACTCTGCTAATTTTTCCACAAAAACACTCCTCCAATCAGGGAAAACGACCGCCTTCCGTACAAAATTCAAATGTTAACAACAACCAATCCGCGTGCCTCATCCCCGTCGGAACCAAGACAGAAACAGAATAAACCAAAAGCCAAGTGTCTCGAATATACAAATAAAGGTTTAAACATTCAAATCAAAATTCAAGTGTCGCATCCATTCAAGGCAAAGGTCAAGTGCAACTGCACTGTGTTAACAATAATAGATTATTAAATTTAAATTTGATATAGTTTAACTGCGTTTTATCATTGCACCAAACCCCAAATATTCAAGCGCTATTAAAAACCGCTTGAATGCATATAAAGATTGCATCTTTATGCAATGCTGCTGAAAAAAATACTTGGTGCTCAAGGATATCATATGTTCACTGATCGTTATTATACGAGCTATATCTTGAATGAAAAATTATTGAAATTTAAATGCCACTTCACAGGAACTATTTTAACAAACAGAAAGCATATACCAGAACAAATAAAAAGAACAAAATTCGGAAAAAAATCAACAGTAGCATACCGGAAAAGAAATAAATTAGTTTTAGCATGGAAGGACAAGAGGGTTGTCACATGCTTGACTAACTGGAACAATGCAGGAATGACGCATTTGAAACAAATTTTACGAGATGGAGTAGAAGTGACCGTCAAGAAACCTAATGTAGTAATAGATTATATCAAACATATGGGCGGTGTCGATCGTGCAGATCAGTATGCCTCAACGTACTTTTATAAACTGTTTTTTTGGGGTTTAGAAATTTGTTCAATAAATTCATATATTTTATACAAAGCCGCTGAACAGCAGAAAAACGAACAGCCACTTAATCACTTGCGATATTTGAAAACATTAATTCACCAATTGACTGGAGATTTTCGCCAGCCACGCGATCGAGCCTTGACTTCAACCTCCGATTCCGAAAATATCCGCTTGAATGGAAAGCTACATAATATTCTAACAAGAGTTAGGAAGGACTGCAAAGTCTGTTCTCAGAGAAATAAACCCGAAAAAAGGCATCAAACGACATATTATTGTAATACTTGCCCCGACAAGCCGGGCATGCATATTGGGAATTGTTACATGAAATATCATACACAGAAAAATTACAGAGACTAATATTTAAGAAATTATGTTTATAAGGGCGTAGACATATAAAATGTTATACATTAATTTGTGTGTGTAATGATTTTAAGTTACTGGTAAGAAATGCGTCAAAATGGCTGCGAAACGTCTCGAGATGATGGTGCGCCGCGCGAAAAAGGCCCTGAGTGCAAAGGGTTAATATATTTCAATGCTCATCAGAAGAGTGGACTGGGAATCCGCAAGACACACCTTTATTTATGCTATGGAAGAGAACCCAAATCGAGTTGGAAAAATATTCCATTCCAGCTGAGGAACCTGTAAACGACAGCACAAATCCAACAGTGTTGTTTCCCGACAAAATAAAGAAAAAAAAAAATATGGAACGATTAAAAACAGAGCACGCAGCAGAAAGGCAAATGAAGAAGGAAGAAAAGGAGAGAGCTAAACAAGACAAGACATGTCAACTGAAATTGAAAAAAGCAAAGAAAATCTTACAGTTTTCTTCTGAGAGTTCAAACTCCAGTTGTGAAATGTTCGGTTCTGTTGTAGAAAATGAAGAAAATGAAGAGGTCAACGAAAAAAACGAACTGTTGAACAACAATAAATGGCCTGCCTGGCTGCCTGTTGAAAAAGTTGTGAACGAACACGTAATATTTTTATATGAAGGAAAACATTTCCCTGGAAAAATTCTTCGTATAACTAAAACTAAAGCGACTATTTCATCCATGGAAATGTACGGGCGATTATGGAAGTGGCCAGAGAAGCCTGATGTGCTGGACTACGAGTGGAAGGCTGTACTTTCTCATATCAATTAGCCCACGAAATCGAGCAGAACTCGCAACGTCTACTCTGTTCCTGAATTGAACTCTTTATGGAATTGATTTGTTTTATTTGTTAGTTTATTCTTTAATTGTAATTTGTGCTGGTAATTGTTGAAACTAAATGATACTAAAATGATTCCCAACATTATATTGCTTTAACTCTCTTTCTAGTACAAGTGGTCAACTACTAACGAACAGAAGGTCAATTACTAGATTTATCATTTTTAAAAGTGGTCAACTTCTGAAGCAATTACTGAATTTTTAAATATATTTTTTAAATTTGTTTAAGTAAACTTTTTTTTAAAAGTGGCCTTGTTACATAATTTAGAAGACTTAAAGAGTGTCTTCAGGCATCGACTCTCGCTATTTGATGACAGAGCAAGTACTTAGTATTGTTCGCGTGGAAAACTTTTCTTAACTGGTCAACTACTAGTACCTTTACCTTAGCAGTAATATTGACTCAGAAGAAGAATATTTATTTGATAGTGATTTCGAGACTGAATCAGATGGCAGTCTATTGTAAAAAAAAGACCACGTAGAAATGTAATTTATGATTCGGAAGAATCAGAGAGTGAAGATAAAGTTCCTAGTACTTCGATCAATGTGCAATCTATAAATGAAGACACCGAAAGTGGCAATATTTGGACAGAAGTGGAAAAAGACCCTCCAGTTTTTGAATTTCGTGGAAAGAATCAAGGCTTGAATCTTCGGGCAAAATTGAGAACTCCAGGCGAAC